CCCCCCCTGGGTATACAAAAAACATTCTTGAGTGTTCATTCAAAAAGCCGGATCGACTGCATTCTGGCACTATAAGTTCTCGCATTATTAGGCAAAATTGTAAAGGTGAGTGAAGAAAAGCCTCCTGATCCATTGTGTTCACGTTCGAGTGCACCGAAAAAGATTCATTTCAGCTAACAAGCTAATCGGTTCCGACAGCTTATGTGCGAGTAGTTCCTAATATATAACGAAGATTCGGATCGCTTTTTGCTCTTAATAGGGCTCATGACAAGTGAATGGACGGAAGATGGACAGATATGGTTTTAAACGTTTTAATGTGAAGTTGATGACGGTTTTTATAGCGAATGGGCTCCGGTGAGTTCACCAATGGAGTGAGAAACGATATTTTAAAAGCATTTATTCAAGCTTTATTAATCGCGTTTTTTTTTAAGATCATTTTTAACAACATTAGTAACATTTTTATAATTAAGACTGTGGGCTCAATAGCTCGATTCTTTTAAAATTTCCGTTTTTTTTTAATTTAACGCCCTACATCTCGAGAATCACAAATAATTGCCTTGCATTGATGTTCTTTTAAATAGACATATTTTTTAAGTTTAACGTCTAGGAATTTTCAACCGCTTCGCCCATATACAATTTCCAGCTTATCTTATCTAAACATATTTTCTACTTAAATCGATTGCTATCAGGATGTTTGGAGACAGGTAGGGTTTAGTCAAAGGTATAGATGGACCTTTGACAACAACAAAAAACAATTTAATTAAAAACCACTGTATTATCAAAGTATTATTAAGATATAACATGTTAAATGACGGGTGTTTTTTCGACATGAATGTAAAAGCATTTGAAATCAGTATTGGATAAAACGCGCTTCCCAAATCGACAACGAATACAGAAATGAAAAATGAAAGAAAAACTATGACAATTAAGCTACGTTATGTTACAAACACCTTCGAAATACTAGATTCAACATAGACGAGATAAGTGGGTAGAGTCGTAATCGACTCGTTACACATTACCATTGCCTTAACACTCGATAAATTAATGAAAATGTGCAGTTGAGCTTTAGGATGTGTTTGTTTCCATCTCCGAACCAGAATCCTGCTTTCATCCTGATCAAATTCATTGAACTTGAAAAGTTGCAGAAAGGTAATGGTAATGTGCAAACCCTTAACGTAATAACAGCCTTTCTTAGACAAAAGGAAATCGAATCACATTCTTAATTACTCATGTTGACAATATCTTATCAAGGGCATTGATAGCTAGTTTAGATCGCCAGAATACTGAAAAAGAGCTGAGATTATTTCGATACCTCAGTGGTGTCGGTTTTGATTGAAAACCAATTTAAATTAACATAAAAGTAGGAGACTATTTGTGAGCGTAATATGTACAATTCAACTGCAAATTCCGTTCCAGACAAAAAGTTTCTTCTATTAATTGGATAACAATGCCCTTGAATTCGCCACCACTTGTTAGCTATTTACAATATTTTTAAAACAAAAACTTTAAACCATTAGATAATAGACATTTTACTTATTGGGCTGCTCAGTGATTGGTCGCTTGAATAGCAGTACGTGAGGTTCTGGAATAAAAAAAAACAAATTAGAGCGCAAATCACAACCAACATAGATAGCGTTTAGTGTGTTAATTAATGTCAGGCTCAGTTTAATTAACACTAAACATTGAGGTTTTCAATAAGGAATAAAAATGAATGAAAAATATGATGCAGACACAACAATAAGGCAAATAGAATATTAGAGCAATAAACAGCAATCAAAGTATTTAAGTTAATGCAAATGAAACCTCAATAAATGTAATCAACTGCAGGAAAACGAGCCTCGTCTTACCAGGCTTATGCGTCATGTAGTGTATCCAACCTTTGCTTTGTTGTATACCAATACTTCTCCATTCATCTTCAGTCATCAAATGGGTTTTTGGAACGTACTTGACCATTTCTTTGGGAATTAATACATGCCTGAAAAATAAACGAGACTCTTTTAGTGCTCCCATTATTAACTGGGTCCTTTTGTGGCAGCTGTTGCTTGCCCAGTAAGTTCTGTGTTGTGATTACGTGCTTGAAACTCACGAACTTCCACAATTTAAGTAAGTTTTTGCGCATAGGACATGACTAGCAGGGCAGTGTATGAGTTAAAATGTACAACGGAGCAACAGGGGCCATAGCTGGTGTAACCAAAACTTACCTATACTCGTATTTATCGTCGTAATACTTATCGGAGTAGAAAATGTTGCGAAGGAGTTCTTCCTTGTTCATGGCTTAATTTGGAATAGTTGCTACTTCTAGGGCACAAGCTAAATTGCTAAAATTCACCAAATTTGTTCAAAACGCCGACAACGATGCTTTCCTCTTTCAGACTTCGAATGCAACGAATTATTTGCTGTCATTACTGTCTAAGCGTTTAAATTTACTACCCCAGCCAGGAAAGAAAAACCCTATGCATCAGGGTGGCCAACATTAACTACGGCCTAGTTACTTTAGCGACCAACCCAGTGCATTCATAATAAATTTCGTCAGCACCATAGATTACAGAAGTTACAACTAACCTCAATTTAGTGACGTAGGCAAGTCAACGAGGCTGTTTACATAACAAAATACTTTTTAAGGATTATTGCCCTTCTAAAGGGTGTTTAGTGTGGGAGTTTGCAAGTCTCTAACTATGGCTTCCCTGCTAAGTAGAACTGGATACATACGGCAATGTTGTGCAGTCCTAAAGTGAGACTTGAAACAGCTAAAAGTCGTGATATACCAACTAACTGAAAGCATTTTCCAGGGGGTCGCCCAGTATTTCCACATCGTCAGTGCTTCAAAAGGATGCTCCACTGAAGGATACTGACACGTTGCTCAAACCCGAGGAGATTGAACAAAAGAACAAACTCAAAGGTTACATAACTGTGGAAGGGCCCGTAAGTAGATTATTACAGTATTTACTTCAGGCGCAATCAGTGGGCAATTCCTATGCTTTAGACGGAACTATCGCTTGTGAGTGGCATCCCAGAGGAACAACTTAAAACACGCAAAGTGCGCATCTACGAGCCACCCAAAAACTGCATGCAAAGTGGCACTAATAACATTGGCCACTGGGAAATGGATTTCGATGCTAAGGAACGCTGGGAAAATCCACTGATGGGATGGTGTTCCACGTAAGCGTTCAAACTCGATCTAAGTAGCTTCAATTTAACTGACGGTGGGCTTACAGAGGCGATCCACTGTCGAACCTAAAAGTGCAGTTTGCAACTAGAGAGGAAGCAGTGGAATACTGCGAGAAAAACGGATGGGATTGGTACATCCAAAGCAGCAAATTGGACAAACCGTTCAAGCCAAAGTCATACGCTGTTAACTTTGCTTGGAACAAACGTACCAGAGTTTCAACTAAGTAGCTTCAAATGTTAATTTTGTTGTTAACTAGAATGTTTTAATTGAAGCAATAGAAGTCTCCAAGTTGCAAAAGCACGTTCTCATTCAAAAAGCTTAATATAGCTCAAACTGTGAATTTAGGGCGCAATAAATATAACATCGAAAATAACACTTTATTTTTAAAATCACATTTCGTTTCAAACATGTTAAACAATACTTTACAATAAAAACATTCATACAATCTTATGACACGATACAGGAAGAACGAACTTGGTAACTAGTTCGGCAATCAAACAGGGTGAACAAACAGATGATTTATTATTACAAAAGAAACTGATTATTGTTTTAAAAATTTTATATTGATTAACATTATGAGGGCAAGTTCCACACTGTAAAAATTCAGTAATTTCGTATAGGAATAGTGAGATGCATTTCATTAATCCACAATCTTGGATGTCCGCCATAAATGCAAAAGTAACATTTCAACTATCTGCATTATCAGTTACTTGCACATGTCATCTACCATTTTTTCCATGTCCCCAGCTGGATCAAAGTCACTGATAATTTCTTCTTGGCAAACCTCCATACTATTTGTAGGCGTTGTAGGACTGTCGAGCTCAATTCCCTCTGTAAGGAACATCTCTACATAGTCATCACCGGGGGGCTTCAATTTTGCAAGTTGCTCACGTAATTGTTTGTACAACTAAAAAAACTCGCTATAGCTGGAACTTTCGCTGGAGTTCGCAAATCAGTACCTTTCTGAAGCTATCCAATGCTGCGCTCCGGTTCTTTTTTATGATGCGCGGGCCACTTTTCTTCTCCTTTTTAACTTCCAATTCTAGTTCTTCTATCCATTTCTCCACTTGCGCTAGAACTTCGTGTTTCTTCATATAGAAATGGGCGTTTATCACATCTTCAAAGCATGGGCATGGATTTAGAATCTGATCCAACATTGCCCATCGCACTGTTGCTTGGCAAATGTTAAGGTTGTAGTCTTTTGAATTTACTGAGCCAGCAGGAGTACCTTTAAAAAGTTATCCGATCATTTTCAATCAAGAACCCTATGAATTCACATAGAAACACTATATTTTAAATAAGTTCTATATTGTTGAGGCGCATTCATTTTTTTACAAACTTCTTTTTGAGGCGAAATACCCAAAAAGAAGTCTATATTTTAAGTTTCCAATTGGTGCCTTACCTCTGGCTCTTTCATATCCGGGCTCGTTAAAGTAAGGTTCCGGCACTAGAATTAAACTCTGAATAGAAACTAACACCTGCAGAAAACTGGACGTTTGGGCATTCCATTTTTCTTCGGGTCTGCCATGCCAAGTGTTCAGTACCTAAAAGTACGCGTCATGTTGCAAATATTTTAGCGAATTTTAAACGCGCCTTACCGATAAACACACTTTTCCATCATTGTATAAATTGGGATTAAACCTAACGGTGTGATGGCCGGTCGTTTCCAAGTTGATTAGCATGGGCGACAACGGATAGTCCGGTGGAAAGAACACGTCCAATTCAAAACATCCATTCGCATACGGGGTATCAGCCGGACCGGTAATTAACACCTAGAAAAT